TTGATTCCTCAGCACCACATAATCAGAAAAAAAAAGCTGGAAGTGGCGCTGTGGCTCAAGTGGTAGAGCGCTAGCTTTGAGCTGAAGAGTTGGGGGACAGTGCCCAGGCCCAGAGTTCAGGCCCCATGACCGGACCCCCCCCCCCCAAAATAAAAAAGAACAAGCTGAGAATGGTGGTTCACACCTACAATTCCAGCTGTTAGGAGACATACGTAGAAAGATCACAGTCTAAAGTGGGCCTGGGGAAAAAAAAAGCATGAGACTAGCCAGGCACCAGTGGTTCATGCCTGTAATCCTAGCTACTTGGGAGGCAAAAAAAGCCAAAAGTGAAGCTGTGGCTCAAATGACAGAACACTAGTTTTGAGCACAAAATTCAGGGACAGCTCCCAGACCCTGTGTTCAAGCCCCAGAATTGGTGCACACACACACATACACACACACACACACGCCTGAGACTAAGGGGAAAATTGGTAAGGGCATGGCTCAGGTAGTAAAGTGTGCTAGCTCAGTTTGTGTGGGGCTCTGAATTCAAACCACCTCCTCACCACACCCACCCCCCAAAAAGTGCCAAGATTACTGTGCTGCTTCAGTCCCTTGGACTCTGGGTTTAGTACCCATCTTACAGGTTGCCAACTTCCATCTTCCAAGCTCACTTGTGGTAGCCGATTTCTAAGAAATCCTGGCGTCTAAGTTAGGTCTAAACTATAAACATAAGAAAATATATACTGGGTCATATGCATATATAAATATACAAGTTGCCTGAAAATATGGTATACACAGAAGAGGATTCCAAAAGTGTAACTAGTTTGAACAATTAATTTACAGTTTAACAAAATGAATACCAGGGTAGGCGCTGGTGGCTCACCCCAGTAATCCTAGCTACTCAGGAGGCTGAGATCTGAGGATCGCGGTTCAAAGCCAGCCCGGGCAGGAAAGACCGTGAGACTCATATCTCCAATAAACCACCAGAAAACTGGAAGTGGTGCTGTAGCTCAAGTGGTAGAGCGCTCGCCTTGAGCTGAAGAGCTGAGGGACAGCGCCCAGGCCCAGAGTTCAAGCCCCACGACTGACCAAAAAAAAAAAAAAAAAGTGGGGAAACTGCATACTGTTGGGGGAAGGGGAGAGTTGAGGGAAGAGGAAGCAGAAAAATGGAGAGAGGAAAATGTAGGTGGGAACAGTCAAAATATTCAATGTACATGTGAAACACTGGAATCCAGGCAACAGTGGCTCATACCCATAATCCTAGCTACTCAGGAGGCTGAGATCTGAGGATCTCAGTTCAAAGCCAGCCCAGGCAGGAAAATCCATGAGACTCATCTCCAATGAATCACCAAACAGCTGCAAGTGGAGATAATGTGACTTAGGTGGTAGAGTGCCAGCCTGGACCTATAAGGCCAACCAAGAGCAAGAGGCCCTGAGTTCACATCCTACAACTGGCATGCACATGAACATGCACATGTATACACACACACACACACACACACACACACACACACACACACACACAATAGAACCAAGTTAACTTGAGGCGATGGGTAGGTAGGTTTGGAACAGATGGGAGAGAATGACAGGAGTAATACTGACCAAGATGCATTGTACCCATAAGCTGATATATTGAATTGAAACCTTTTGTAGAACACTTAAAACAATTTAAAAGCCAAGTGCAGGTGGCTCACACCTGTAATCCTAGCTACTCAGGGGGCTGAGATCTGAGGATCATAATTCAAAGGCAGCCTGAGCAAGAAAGGATATAAGACTCTTATCTCTACTAAATTACCAAAAAAACCCCACAACAACCCAGAAGTGGAGCTGTGGCTCAAGTGGTAGAGCACCAGCCTTGAGCAAAAGAAGCTAAGGGACAGCACCTAGGCCCTGAGTCTAAGCCCCAGGAGTAATACACATACAAAAAAAGGTTAATTGGTAAGAAGTCTCATGGACCTTCTTTCATTTATTTCAAAATACACATAAAAGTAAGGGGGAGGAATGACATTGTTTAAAAAGAAATGTACTCTTTATCTGACTTATGTAACCATAACCTCTCTGTATATTACCTTTAAAATAGATAAATTTAAAAATAATAAATAAAATAAATCTCAACTATACACACACACACACACACACACACACACACACACACACACACACACACACATATGAGGAACCTTTCCTCCCCCATCCAGAC